GGCTTTCTTGTTCCATTTACAGAGCATGGGCAGAGAAGATTTAGCATAAATCTGAAGGGCCCTAGGATTTTCGGAACGGCCAACGAACATTGGCTTCCAGTGAAATTCAGCAGCTGCATTAGCCTCTGACAAGAGAGTCAGACTGTCCTTTGAAGCTTTGAAGCCAGGCACTGATTTCTCCTCTGCAGCTATGACAGTCCTGGATGGCATCTTCTTCCAGCAGAAGGCTGTCCCATCTCCGGTGAAAGTGTATTGTTTAGTGTAGCCACCGTCATTAGTTACCTTAGCTGGGTCTTCTGGAGAACTGGCTGCAGCTCCTACGTCAGCACTTGCTGCTTCACCTTGCACTTCGATGTTATGCTGATGGCTTCTTTCCTTAGAGCTCATGAACCAGCCTCTGCCAGCTGTAAACTTTTCTTCTGCAGCTCCTTCACGTCCCTCAGCCTTCACAGAATTGAAGATAGTCAGGGCCTTGCTCTGGATTTGGTTTAAGGGACTGTTGTGGCAGGTTTAATGTTCTGTCCAGACCACTCAGACTCTCTCCATCTCAGCAATGAGACTATTTCACTTTCTTACCATTTGTGTGTTCACTGGAGTAGCACTTTTAATTTCCTACAAGAACTTTTCTTTGCATTTAAACTTGGCTAACTATTTGGCACACAGGGACTAGCCTTCAACCTGTCTCAGCTTTTGACTTCCTTACTAAGTGTAATCATTTCTGGTCAGAGACATGTGACTCTTCTTTTCACTTGAACAATTAGAGGCCATTGTGGGGTTATTAACTGGCCTAATTTCAGTATTGTTGTGTCTTAGAGAATAGAGAGGCCCTGGGAGAGGGAGAGAAATGGAGGAACAGCTGGTCAGTGGAACAGTCAGAACACACACAACACTTACTAATTAAGTTCGCTCTCTTTTATGGGCACGCTTCATTGCACCTCAAAGCAGTTACAATAGTAAGATCACAGATTACTGATCACAGATCACCATAACAAATATAATGATAATGAAAAAGTTTGAAATATTTCAAGAATTAGCAAAATGTGACAGATGAGAAATGAGCAAATTGCTGTCAGAAAAATGGCACCAATGGACGTGGCTCTATGAAGGGTTGCCACAAACCTTCAATTTGTAAAAAATAAAACAAAAGTAAAAACAAAAAACCACACACACACACACACAAAAAAAAAACAACAAAGCAATTACCTGTGAAGCGACATAAAGCGAAGCACTGTAAAACAAGGTATGCCTGTACATGTATGTATTATACATATTTAATATATTTCAATTCATTACAGTCACTGTTTTTATTAATGTTTACAACTCTCATTTTTGGTCAATTCGGAGCCTTTTTAAGTTGATGACTACCATAACTTTAGTCTTCATTGATAGATAACTAGGTCTCCTGAATGACAATATGTTCTGGGCCCATCTTGTACATTTCCTTCCACAGACCTGGAATCAGCTATTTCTGGTTGGTTTTTATGGTTTTTGGGTTTTTTTTTTAATCTATTTATGATAGTCAGAGAGAGAGAGAGAGAGAGGCAGAGACACAGGCAGAGGGAGAAGCAGGCTCCATGCACCGGGAGCCCGACGTGGGATTCGATCCCGGTCTCCAGGATCGCGCCCTAGGCCAAAGGCAGGCGCTAAACCGCTACGCCACCCAGGGATCCCTTCTTGGGTTTTTTTTAAGTCACATTTCAGTTATTAGGTTTAGTGAACAGAGCTAGGAAACACTTTTTTTTTTGTCTTTTTTAGATGAAAAGTCTTATATTTCCAATTCATAGTTAGGACTTCAAGGTCTTTGCTTATTCTTTATTGATGTTAAATCTCGGTCTTTTCTCTCACACTGAAAACCCTGGTTCCCATCAGCACCAGTATAAATGTTCACTTAGCTATCTTGAACTATGTGGATAAGATGTGTTCAAGGCAGTTGAGCTGTAAGGTAGAAAAGTAGGCGGGGTCCCTGATATCTTAGCATCAGACCTGAGGTACCTGGCCAGGCTTTTATTCAAGGGCAGATCTTGTTTAAGCACATATTTTGGATTTACTATCCTTTGAAACCCAAATAATAAGGGAACTACCATGGATTTCCAATTTTTAAAGGATTAGTATACGATAAATGCATTTAGTACCAAAATCTTACTGAATTTAGTGTTACCTTTGATATGGAAGACTTCAGAATATTTTTGTCCCTCAAATATACCAAGAACATCAACAGTTATTATTGGACTGTAGAATTGTGAAGATCTCAATTGTTGTATATTATCCTTTTTTATTTAAAAAATTGGGTTTAAGAGAGTGAATCAACTTTTATGTCCACTTATTTAAATAGAGTTTAAAAAAATTACCTCCAACAAATATTTTATATAGGCTATGATGTAGCATTATGTATTGCATTTTGCCTCCCTCCACTCCCATTGATATGTTGAAGTCCAAACCCCAAGCTCAGAATGTGGCCTTATTTGGAGATAACCAAGTTAGTATGGGGTCATTAGAGTGGGTCCAAACCTAATATGACCAGTGGCAAATTAAACTAAATGCATAATTAATTATTCTTCTGTATCCATGTTTAGAATAAAAGTAATGGCTATTATGAGGACATGTTTATTTTCCATGGGGCATAGAAACTATCTTTTTTTCAGGGGCAAATGCATATTATCATGGTAATAATTTTTAAAATTTTCATTTTTTGTGGCAAGAACACTGAATATGAGATTTACCCTCTTAATGTATTTTTAGGTGTACAATATAGTGTTGTTGTCTATAGGTACAATGTCAAACACCAGATCTCTGGAACTTAATCGTCTTGAAACTTTATGCTCACTAATTAGAAACTCCTCATTTCCTCCTCCCTCCAGCCCCTGAAAACCACCATTTTATGCTTTCTATGAGTTTGACTATTTTAAATGCTTCATATAACTAGAATCTTCAATATTTGTCCCCCCATGTTGGCTTAGTTCACTCAGCACAGTGTCTTCAAGATTCTTTTTTTATTTCTCTTCAAGATTCTGATTTCAGTTCTTTTGGATAAATACCCAGAAGCAGGATTGCTGGATCATATAGTAGTTCTATTCTTACTTTTTTGAGGAGCCTCCATACTTTTTGCCATAGTGCTGCACCAATTTGCATTTCCACCAATAGTGTACAAGAGTTCCAATTTCTCCATCCTCATCACCACTTTTTAAAAAATTTTTATCCATCACCACAGGTGTCTATTCAAGTCCTTAAGCCTATTTTTAAACCAGTTATTAGATTTTTTGTTTTGTGATTGCTTTGGTTTTTGCTTTGGAGTTATATATTTTGGATATTAACCCCTTATCAGTTAAATGATTTGCAAATGTTCTTTCCTGCCTATAGGTTTCCTTTTCACTTTGTTGACTGTTTGCTGTGCAGAAGCTTTTTAGTTTCATACAGGTCTCACTTGTCTATTTTTGCTTTTGTTTCCTGTGCTTTTAGTATCATATCCACAAAACGATGGCCAGATTAGTGTCATGAAGCTTTCCGCCTATATTTTCTTATAGGAGTTTTTACAGTTTTAGGTCTTAGGTCTAAGTCTTTAATCCATTTTGAGTTGATTTTGGTATTGTGTAAGATAGGGTTCTGTTTCATTCTCTCACATGTGAATATCTAGTTTTTCCAATGCTGTCTGTTGAGACTATCCCTTCCCTATTGTGTACTCCTTGGTATCCTTGTCAAAGATCAGTTGACTGTATATATGTTGATTTATTTCTGGTTTCTATTTTTCCAGTGGCTTATATGTCTGTTTTTATACCAGTATCATATTGTTTTGATTACCTTAGCTTTGTGATATATTTTGAAACTAGCAAGTTGATGCCTCCAGCTTCAATCTTGTTTCTCAAGATTGTTTTGACTATCTGGGGTCCTTTGTGAGTCCATATGAATTTTTTTATTCTTTTACTATTTCAGTAAAAAAACGTTATTGGGATTTCAATTGCATTGAATCTGTAGACCATTTTTGGAAGTATGGTTATTTTGGCAAAATTAAGTTTTCTAATTTGTGAACATGGGATGTCTTTCCATTTGTGTCTTCTTTAATTTTTTATCAGTGTTTTTCAGTGTATAAGTTGTTCACTCCTTAAATTTATTTCTAAGTATTCCATTCTTTTTCATGCTGTTGTAAATTAGATTGTTTTCCTAATTTCCTTTCCAGAAAATTTGTTGTTAGTGTATAAAATTACAAGTGTTGTTTTGGTGGTATCTGTAGGATTTTCTACATATTTAAGATCATGACATCTGTAGACAGGGATAGTTTTACTGCTTCTTTTCCAGTCTGGATTCCTTTAGTTTCCTAATTGCTCTGGCTAGGACTTGTAGTTGAATAGAAGTGGTAAGAGTGGTCATCTTTGCCTATTCCTTATCTTAGAGGAAAAACTTGATTTTTCACCATTGATTGTGATATTAACTGTGGGCTTTGTATGCCTTTATTATGTTGAGATAATTTCCCTCTATTCCTAGTTTGTTGAGAGTTTTTATCATGAAAGAGTGTTGAATTTTATCAAATGCTTTTTCTGCATCTATTGAGATGATCACATGATTTTTTTAATCCTTAATTCTGTTAAATTGGTATATCACATTAGTTTTTGTGTGTTGAACCATCCTTGTATCCCAGAGATAAGTCCCACGTGGTCATTGTGTATAATGGTAATATATCTGAGAGAATCCTAACCATTTTATTGTCTTGTGCATAATAACTTGCTGTTGGACTTCAAATTTTTTTATATTGCTAAATATATGTGACCTGGGATTTGAAAGAACTTACTAAAATATTTAAAAGAAAAAACTCTTACTACCAATTGTGGCTATATTATTAAAGGCCTCTTACTTTAAAATCCCAAGAATATATATTTACATGTTATAAGTGAACTTTCCATGTAAGTCTGTTAGTATTTAATCTATATGATGAAAAACAAATTAGAAAAAATATTTATCTCTGAAATACTTTTTTCTTTTTTGTATTTTGTGTCCTGAATCTGAAGCAGCATCTCACTTTCATCAGCATTGTTGAAAGAAGAAAAAATGCCAGTCCTGTCTCCTGAAATCAAATTTGATACATCTAATGTCACCAGAAATTCCCTTGACAGTTGTTTTCTTTTTGAGAATAGTTGGAGGAAAGCAGTTTTAGAAACACAAAGGATGAAGAAGGGTAACTTCATTTTTATAATTATTTTACTGAATAAAATATAGAAATAGTGCCTTAAACTTACACATGTATTTTTTAAGCAGTCAAGAGACATCTTGTAATTTCTGTAATATTTATAGAAGGATAATATCCTAAGTTTATGGTAAATGAAAATGGAACCAAATTAAAATTAATTTACTTAACATAACTCTGTAACTCATGATGGAAACAAATCTTAAAGAACTTTTCTTGGTATCAGTTCAGTACTATCTCCATTGGGTCATACTACTTTTCACAAATTCTGTTTGTTTTTAAACACCTCAGGTTGATTTTTGTTTTAAGAAACCCAAATCTCTAACAGCACCCTTTTGTATTCCTAGTTCTAACCCAAACTTTATTTTTTGCATGTGGAAAGTATCTTTTATTCTACCATTGCTCAATAAGGACTAATTTGAGGACTTTTGACATGTGCGCGAATGAATGTATTAATAGCTTAATTTCAATTTATATTTCAAATTTCAAATTATAATTGTATTTTTTGTTTATCCTGAATTCTCCCTTCAGCTTTATAAATAGAGATGTAATTCCTGAAAACAGTAAAATTCAAACTCCACAACCTATTTCATCACTCCTGGTTTTGTGTGTGTTACTTTTTTTTTTTTTTCAACTTTTTCACTACATTCCCATTAAAGATATTCAGAAGACATGTTTATCTGTCCTTTCACCCCAAATCCAATTGCTGGAAAGAAACTTTGTATGTTTTTTGATCAGGAGAAACTATTTTTTTCTTCCAGAAGAAAAGTCAAAAGTTGCAAAATAGCATTTGGAGTGTTTAATATAACTCTAGTCCCATTAAATACTATTCTTATTGCTATGCTAGACGTGCTTAGTAGAGAAAGCTTAAAATACAATTCATCACAATTAAAGATCACCGGAACCTTTAATTTCTTAATCTGTTTTTGCCCATTTATTGCCTTCATTTTGAAGTTTCATTTTGTTTTTAAATAATTTGACAATCTCTGTACAGTTTTATGTGAGGTTAGCAGGAGAAGCAATCTTGATGCTTCAATGCTAGTATTTATGGATTTGGTGTTAAATTTTGCAGAAAGAAAGTTAAAATCAATGCCTTAAAGAGAATTCTTTTATGTCTCATTGCTAGCTCAATAATTGTACATTCATACCTCTTATTTACATAAAAGCAGGAAGATAGGAAGGTTTAAAATAGCAGAAATACAAAACTCTTAAAAGTGCTTTTAAACTCTACTGTGAATATCTCTAATACACTGGAAATTCTAATTATGTAAAATAATGAGGGCAGAGGATAGTGACGACTGTGTCGATTCTGTCCAGCTGTCTTTTTTCCTTATTCTACTTCTTAATCAGCCCCTGAATCAACTCTTCCTTACTTCCCTATATCCTATATTAGGAATTAAAAGGTATTCTCTTGGGAAAGATAATAGATAGATTATGGTAGCTTTATTTGCTTTGCTTAATGACTAATTGGGTATGTTGTATTATGCATTTTAGTATGTAGTAAAAGAAGTTATATGCATTTCATCCAGAAATAATACCATTGATTATGATACTATTTTTGATTAGAATACACCACAATATTTGGTCTAGAAGAGCTCAAAGAATGTGTCAAAATGCCATATTTACCAGGACTGCAGAGTTGCCCAAAAAGTGTAAGTTCAACTCCACTGGGCGTTCAATCAAGACGGCTGCATGCTGAGACCGAGATGCCTCCAGTCAGGTAGACCATTGCTGTTCAGTTCTCTTGCATTCCACACGTATCTGTAGTAATACTGCTAAAGGAAGAGGTTTTCCTGGCTAGTGACTTGAAGTCTTTCTTGCCCACTGATATTTTTTTCATAAAGGATCTCATGTTTTAATGTAGGTAGCAATTTTATTCAATTTGACAAATAAGCACTTTTCTCAGTTTTCAAGTGATGTTGCCAGAAAGGACTTAAGGCCTTCCATTAAAAAATATTTGTTAGGGATGCCTGGGTGGCTCAATGGTTGAGCATCTGCCTTTGGCTCAGGTCATGATCTCAGGGTCCTGGGATCAAGTCCCACATTGGCTCCCCAGAGGGAGCCTGCTTCTCCTGCTGCCTGTGTCTCTGCCTTTCTCTGTGTCTCTCATGAATAAATAAAATCTTTTAAAAAAATAAAAATAAAACCTACTTAAGGTTTCAGTGACTTTCCATCATTGCTAAGACACTGTGTCCCTAACACTCACCTCACTCTTGTCAATTTCATCAGGAGTCACAGGGCCCTTTGAGAAGGATGTAGAGCTGCCTCTGGCAATGAGCTTGTCTCAGTACAGACCAGTCTTGTTACCCTGCTTTCAATGATCATCTTTAAGAAACTGGAAGCCCAGAAAGCAACCCCTGAATTGGCCCAACTACCTCTTAATCTTAAGTCTTCATTTTGCTTCCTACTGTTTTCACCCTATTTCATTTTTTTTTTCATTTGCAACTTGGCTGTTTGTGAAATGACTCCTCATCATTTTACATTGGCTTGAGTGTAAATTTGCCTAGCCAATGAAGGATAATTTCAATATATTAAATTCATGTTATGACAGTTTTCTTCATATACAAAGCAGAAAAGTGGTGGCTACGTGCCATAATGTTTATGAAGTGCTTGGCAAATGTAAATGTTAGTTCTTTTCCCTGTCTTTGAAACAAGTGTCTTTATATCAGCCATTTTAGTGAGAACATGTTGAGTTGCCTACAAGTATTTTATTCTCCTCTGCATATTGCACAGCGCCCCTTGAACGAACAGCCATGGCAAAGCAGGGAAGTAACACATTTTTGTTTGTCTTTGTGTACAACCCCTTACCACCTTTTTCCACTCCATATGTAAATATTTGTTTTTAAAATGCTGATAAAAGTTTGTTTTTTTCAAATTTCTTTCATTATAATCATACATTTTCAGTGACTCTCGAGGCGCAGTCTAGTAATATAACTGATAGTAGTAATCCTAGAGGTGAAGGGGCATTTGGAAGTTCCAGCTGACTTCTAAAGTTCAATATAGTTACAGGACATTTTCAATTCTTATGGATTATCTCAACCACAGCAGATTCAATCATGACCTACCTCCTCTGATAACCCATTCGTTATGTAGGTCTGTTACAGTAGGAACAAAAGTTTAGATAAAATTCAGTTTGTGGTGGTTAATAGGTAAAATTTGCAGAAATAAGTGATAGTTGATATCTGGCATATCTAGATACCCTCTTAATCCAATATTTATTCTCTTTCTCTTAGTATTTTTTAAATCATACTTAAAGAAAGTTGAAGATAAATATGTGAGAGGTTAGACATAACACTTATCTACAGGTAAAATTTATTAGCAAAACTGAGATGTTGAATTGTTCATATCTACTTCTGATTGGATTAATTATGATGGAATGAGTTCACTTTCTTTAATGCTTACTTTCCAAGTGTTGTCCTTCACCGAGTGAGTTTTGATGAAAGCAGCTTCTTATCTATTATTTTTTTTTTAAAACTAATGTACCCTGGATTTATATAAAAGTGATTTTATGATAATATATAATTTTAGGATAAGGAAGACTAAGGAGGCATGCACTGTGGTACCACTTCAGGAAAAACCAAAGAGTAAGTTGGCTCATTTTTTTCTTCCACCACATGTCATATTAGGTTGTCTCATACTTTTTTTTTTTTAACTCTCTTTCTTTCCACTGATTGTTTTGTTCTCTTAATGCTTCTTTTAAGCTCTGTTTATTTTATAAATGTAGTGGATGTTGTGTTCCCTATACACATACCTTTATTATCTCAGGACCTTGGGATTAGCCCTTGTCATCTCATGTGGGCTGTTGCATAGCCTGCATACTAATCTTGCTCTGATGGTTACCCGGGTTTTGGGTGGGGCAAATGGGGAGATGTTGGTACAAAATTACAGTTCTAAGATGAATAAGTTCTGGGGATCCAATGTACAGCATGGTGACTATAGTTAATAATACTGTACTGTATACTGTATACTCTCTATTAAGAGAGTAGGTCTCAAGTGTTCTCATCTCCTTCCCAGAAAAGGTATCTATCTGTATGAGGTGATGGGTGTGGCAATTAACTTAATTATGGTAATCATTTCACAATGTATATGTATATCAAGTTATCATGTTGTATACCTTAAACATACGCAATTTTTATTTGTAAAATATACTGCAATAAAGTTGAGGAAACAATGGAAAGCAGCGGATGACAGGATTTGTAAAATGAAAGATCATTAGAAAATACTCAATTAAAGTGAAGGGAGAAAAAAGATAATATAGAAGGGAGTGTGCAAGTCATTATGTGACAAAATAAAACCTGCTTTACACATGTGTAATTCTAATTCCAGAATAAGAGGAGAGAGGGCAGGATAGAAATAGTATTTACATACTGGCTGATATGTTCCCAATTTTGATGAAAAATACAAAGCCACAGATACAAAAAGCTCTATAAGCACTCAGCAGGTAAGAAAACCACCGTGGGCAAATCATAATAAACAGACTAAGTTAAAACACACACACACACATACACATAAAACAAAACAGAAAAAGGATAGGTTACCTTTGAAGGAGGAATGGTAAGACATACAACTGACTTTTTAAATGTGGACAATGGAAGCAAGAAGACAATGGAATGGCATTCTCAAGGGCTAAAAGAGAATAACTACCAAGCTTGAATTGGATACCCAGTGAAAATATCCTTAAAAGTAAAAGTGAAACAAATACATTTTCATTCAAATAGAAGTTAAGAGAATTTATTGTCTGCAGAGCTTCACTAAAAATATTAAAAAAGTAATGATACAAAATGAAAGTACAACAACTTGGGAAAGAATTAGAAGCAGTAGCAGTACTATTATGAAATTTAAAGTATATGTAGAAATAAAATACTTGATAATAGTAGCACAGAGGTAGGATGGGGCATATGTGGTTTGAAAATGTAAGATACTTGCATTATCTGAAAAATGGTAAAATAACTAATTTAAAGTAGTTTGTAATATGTCAAAGAGACATGTGATCATCAGTATGGTAACCACTAAAAGGATAATAAAATAATACAAGTAACAAGCTAAAAGAGAGGGGAAGTATAATATTGAGAAAATACTTGATCATTTCAAAAGAGGACAAGAAAAGAGGAAAAAAGAAACATAAAATATATGAGACAAATAGAAAACAATTAGCAATATTAAAGATTTAAAATTAAACATAACAGTTGCATTAGATATAAGCAGACTAAATATTTCAATGAAAAAACAAAGTACCAGACTAAGAAAAATAACTGTGTGTTGCTTACAAGAGGCATACCTTAAATTTAAGGCCAGAAAGATCAAAAGTGCAAGGTTGGAAAAATACAAATCATGCAAAAATTAATAAAAAGAAAGATTGTGTAGCTACACTAACATCAAACAAAATAGATAGCTGGGCAAGAATTATTATTTTAATATTGATTAAATCATTTTAATTTTAGGATTTTTAAAGCATTCTAATTCTTCAATCAGTTTTGGTAAGTTATATTTTCTAAGTTTTTTTTTTTTGCATTTTGTCTAAGTTTTCAGATATATTGGCATAAAGTTGTTTTTGTAGTATCTGTACTTCTGTCCTTCTTCCTCTTTTTTTAAATTTTATTTTTAAGTAATATCTACACCCAGGGTGGGCTTAAATTTACAACCCTGAGATCAAAAGTCACATGCTGATCAAAAGGACAGAAGAACCCTGTCCTTCTTCTTTTGATGTTATTTATTTGTGCCTTCTGCCTTTTTTTCTTGATTGATCTCACCAGAGACTTTTTCTTTTTCATTATTCTCTTCGATGAAGAACTCATCTTCTAAAAATCTTTCTTATTGTAAATTTGTTATCTACTTCATTGATTTCTTCTCTTTCCTGCATTATCTTTTTTCTTCCATGGTCTCTGGGTTTATTATTTTTCTATGTCTAACTTATTAATTCTCAAGCCTTCTTTTCTAACATAGGAATTTGGGGTATAAACCTCTTTAAGCATAAGTTTTGCTGTATCACACAAGTTTTGCAATATTTTCTTTCTCATTAGTTACAAATATTTTAATGTTTATTATGATTTCTTTTTTGACTGATGAATGATCTAGATAGAACGTGTGTGTACATTTCTGTATTTGAGAATTTTAAATTTATCTTATTGTTAACAACTTCCAACTTAATTGCATTGGTTTGTATGAAGTTTTGAAGTTTTTTGAAATTTGCTTAATCTCTACAATCTAGTTAATTTATAGCCAAAGAGTTTTTCTAAATGTCAGGTTCACTGTACTCCTAAGGACATTTATCCCAATCATATTCTTCCCCCCCCCAACTCTCTCTCTTTCTCTGAACTTTCTACCCATGCTATACATTCAAATAACAAAACGAACCAAAAATAACCACACTAAAGAACTGTAGGTAGCCTTTTTTGACACTCAACCATTTGAATTAAATAATCATATTTTAAGACAGTTTGAATCAGTATATTATTTTCAAAGTTTTATATGTTTTCAAATAGAAGTATTTATACATATTTACATATTTAGGGCAATATGTAGTGAATGCATGGGAAGTTTGAATTTGATGAATCTGAGTTTAAATTCTTTGCCCTTGGGCAATTTTTTTAGCCCTACTAAATCTTGTTTTTATATTTATGGCCAAAGATAGTACTAGTTACCTACTTCATAGTGTTGTGTGATTGAAATAAATGTAAGTACCTGGCACAGAGAGATCACTCAATATATGTTATCTATTACTATTACTACACTCTATAATAGAAGCTTGAGTAATGCTGTTCAGTTAGTGAATTACTCATTTTCCTTTACAATTTTACTATTTTACTAAACTTAGCATTTATGAGAAATGGAATTTTTGGAGAAAATAACTTGATGAGCATGTAAGGTATGAAACAAGTTAATTATTTATGGAGATTGTGTGTCTTTTGCTTTGGAATAAATTCCACAGCCATCTCATGTTTTAAAAACATGAGCATTATAGAGTCAGATTTAGTTTTATATAGTTAAATAGAAATATCATAAATTTTTTAAGTTAACTTTTTTAAAGATTTATTTATTCTTAGAGAGAGAGCATGAATTGGGGGAAGGACAAAGGGAGAGAGAGAATCTTAAGTAGATGCTACCTCCTGCTGAGTGGAACCCTACACAGGGCTTGATTCCATGACCCTAAGATCATGACCCAAGCCAAAATCAAGAGTTGGATGCCCAACTGACTGAGCCACTCAGGCACCCCTAGTTAAATATTTTTTGAAATGACTTGATATTACACTCATTTTAGAAAGTAAGTGCTTTCTATCTCTAATTCACAAATGTGATATATCAAGAACTAGCAGTGTTTAATGGTCATTTGAGGAAGAGAGATTTTTATTTGCCCTGTACTTTAGAGAATATCATTTTAGTGTACTTAATTTTAATAGCTGATTTCTTTTTCTTCACAGGTACTGGCTTCAGCGATCCTCTTGCTGGAGCACCATCTCAATACTTGCAGAGACTTTCCAAAATGGCCATATTGCAGTATGATACCATTCGTCAAGAAACTACTAGAAAATCCAAAAAGGGCAAGAAACGAGACCTACGAGACTGCTGATAAATACTACATCGTTCAGTGCTTTCTACACTGATATCCAAGGTTTATATATTTTTTCCTTTCTTTTTCTTTTTTCATATGTCATATGATGTACAATGATTTACATAAAAGTGGAAATATAAATAGGAAATAAATATTCTATGTAATATATAGAATCATTTGTATTTCATTGACATCTACAAAAAGACATTTAAATTATAGTTTATGGGGACATGGCAAGGGAAAAATTACATTCCATGAATTTTATGCACATTGATTATATCCTTTAATTCAACTTGACGTGTTTTGAGTGCCTATCTGTAGAGTGACTGACTTTGCTAGGAGCTGCAGAAACTTTAAGACAGAGTGAATCATTATTGGGATTAGAAGATACTCAGTAAGAATGCCTCCTTTTCCCTGCTTGAGTTTAAATACAGTAGTGAGATAAGTATTCAAGCAGATGAAAATATTAGCTTTGTTTGCTGGAAAAATCTGGAAGGAAAATACTGTTTCCTGTGGCAATAGTGGGCCTCCTAATCCTGAACTTCAGAATTGGACAAATGTACACACTCAGGCATTGCTGACAACCTCACTTGCCATATCAGGGCTTTTCCTGACAAGTAGAGCAAAGCATTCCCATTGTGTATACAGGAAGATCCCTGAGGGGAAAGAGGGAGATTCACTCCATCTCTGTGAGGAGGAGAAGGGAAGGTCTATGTCAAAAGGAAAACTTTTCCTTCAGAAAGCCTTGAGGAGTAGGGGGCAAGTGTCCATTAGTACATCTCCCTGAGAAAGAGTAGAAATCAAGGATACCAATGACTTATCCACTGAAGAGTGGGATATAGGCCATAAGAGAACCACAAAGTGTTACACAGGCTCAAAAACAAGGCAGTAACATCCAGCTGGTAGTGAGAAAGCATCACGGGAGATTCAGTATTTGAAATGGACCTTAAAGATAGGAAAAATCGAGGGAGAGGGCATTTCTGTTAAAGATGGGACAACAGTGCTCACTTTGGCAGCACATATAATAAAATTGGAACGATATAGAGATTAGCATGGCCCCTGTGCAAGGATGACACACAAATTCGTGAAGCGTTCCATATTTTCAAACGGCAGGACACCTGCACCCCAATGTTTATAGCAGCAATGTCCACAATAGCCAAACTGTGGAAGGAGCCTCGGTGTCCATTGAAAGATGAATGGATAAAGAAACTGTGGTCTATGTACACAATGGAATATTCCTCAGCCATTAGAAACGACAAATACCCACCATTTGCTTCGACGTGGATGGAACTGGAGAGTATTACGCTGAGTGAAGTAAGTCAATCGGAGAAGAACAAACATTATATGGTCTCATTCATTTGGGGAATATAAAAAATAGTGAAAGGGAATAAAGGGGAAAGGAGAGAAGATGAGTGGGAAATATCAGAGAGGGAGACAGAACATGAGAGACTCCTAACTCTGGGAAACGAACAAGGGGTAGTGGAAGGGGAGGTGGGCGGGGGGGGGGGTTGGGGTAATGGAGTGACGGGCTCTGAGGGGGGCACCTGATGGGATGAGCACTGGGTGTTATACCACATGTTGGCAAATCAAACTACAATGAAAAGTATACAAAAAAAAAAAGATGGAACAACATAAGCAAAGGCATGCTGTGCATTTGGGAATGATGCATTTGGCTGGAGCACTAGGTAATATAGGGCAAGTGTCATAAATTCACATGCTTATTGGCACCTAGCCAGGACCAGATGAAGTATAGCACCAATCAGATGAAGGCTATGGTGAACCAGGGCATGTTTCTCAATTTTAAAGGGCACTCACTGCCTAGCTTTGTGTCATGTGGCAATGTAAGCCCAAAGTTGCAAAGCCTATGTAAATGTTAGCAACTAAGTGAAATAAACAGCTGATTCCAAATTTATAAACCATGTGTGGGTCAAAGAAAATTACAAACTAGATCTTCCTTTGTGGGGCCATTCATTTATGCACTCTTGGGGTCAAAAGAATGGAGGGTGATAGGGCTCAAAATATAACCTGATGACACCTGGTAGGGACTGTCAGATGCCAAGCATGAGTTTATATTTCCTCTGTTTCACAATGGTAGATTTTGATAGTGAAAGTAAATTATTGCCTTTGTGAATTAGGAAGGTTCATTCGGGTATAATGTTTAGGCCAGATTGTATAGGAGGGGCCTGGAGCTAGGGAAAGCATTTAGGAGGTTGTTATAAAAATTGAGGTAAAAATCACTCAGTAGAAAGGTAGAAAAGGGAATAGGAAGGAGAGACTAGATAATTAGACGTTATGGCAAAAGACTTCAGATTAACTGATTAGCATAGGGTATCAGGAGAGGAAGAGTAAAAAACCAGCTTATTTCCAATTTTAGACATAGGATTCTCTGAAGAAAGTGTTGTTTAGGGGGGAATAAGATGGTGAATGCAATTTTGTGTACATTCAGTCTAGAATGTCATCAGGACAGAGATGCCAAATGGGTAGTTGGAAGCAGGTGTGAAGTTCTGGAAAAAGATACTGACTAGAATTAGAACTTAGAGAAACATTTGTATAGCAAAGACTGTGTTTCCCCTGATAAAAAGCAGAGAGAAGAGAGCCCAAATTCATAAGGGATGGGAGGAAATAGGAAGAAAGCAAAAGCGGAAGAAGAAAAAAAGAAACCACCACAAATGTGGGAAAATTAACATATTCCATGTCTTTCAATGCTTTATGTTAATGTGTAAAATATATTATGAATATGTATGTGTTTGTATGCATTATCACAATGAATCCATTCCTGGAAGATAACCAAGTAAATTTAAGTGGGTATGCTCGTGCTTACCTCTAAATTTCAGTTGAGAATGATTTAGATATTACTGGTACTCTCTCTGTCTTCTGACCACCTATTCCAAGTGTGGTCAGTGATTTGAAAAATGGGACATGAGAAAAGCTATACTCTCAAACAAAAAATTTACAAACTCTTATTTGGACAAGCCCTTTTAAATATCTTTGATTATCAAATGAATTTCATTTATTCAGCTCCTAGTATGTACTCTAAACATTAAATATTACATTGCAAATGTTATAAAACCCCTAAAAAGTAGGTAGGTGATGTTTTTCCTGTTTTAGAAATTAAGTAAATAAAGGGTTTTGATTTTGTGTTTGTTTTACACTGGATTTCCCGCTAGAAAACAGGAGAATAGAATTCTAACCTACTAGGATTCAAAGCTCATATACATAAACTTAGTGGAATAATAATTGTTTGAAAACTTAAATTTAGTTGATACATCATAATTTAGTTACTTAAAATTTAGAAGGAGACAGTCTTTGCGCTGCGAAAAATATCCTGATCTTGAGTTAAGTTTCTAAATTATGATACTGACACATCCTGGATCATTTATATTAGTAGCGTAGAAAGTCTTGCTTCCTTCTCACCCATGAAAGGGTTCAACCCAAGTCAATGCAAGAACGGAGTGAAGTGTTTATTTTTTAATAAAGAAAGTTATGAAATACACTGAAAATAATTAATCACCTTTTATTTTTTAAAGATTTGATTTATTTATTCATGAGAGACACAGAGAGAGAGAGAGAGAGAATGAGAGAGAGAGAGAGAGAGAGAATGAGAGAGAGAGAGAGAGAGAGAGAGAGAGAGAGAGAGAGAAAGAGAGAGGCAGAGGGAGAAGCAGGCTTCAGGCAGGGAGCCTGACACCGGACTCCATCTAGGGTCTCCAGGATCACGCCCCAGGCTGAAGGCGGCGCTAAACCGCTGAGCCACCCAGGCTGCCCAATTAATCACCTTTTAAGCCTTAGATTGAATTTAGCTTATGCTTTTCATTAAATTTTTATTTTATTTTTTTAAAAGATTTTTTTATTTTGGACGCCTGGGTGGCACAGGGGTTGAGCGTCTGTCTGCCTTTGTCTCAGGGTGTGATCCCGGAGTTCCAGGATCAAGTCCCACATCAGGCTCCCTGCATGGAGCCTGCTTCTCCCTCTGCCTGTGTCTCTGTCTCTCTCTCCCTCTCTCTGTGTCTCTCATGAAATCTTTTTTAAGATTTTTCTCTCTCTTTCTCTGTGTGTGTGTCTCTCATAAAATCTTTTTAAAGATTTTATTTATTTATTTGAGAGAGAGCGAGAGAGAAAGCGTGAGCTAGGGGAGGAGCAGAAGGAGAGGGAGAAGCAGGCTCCCCGGTGAGCAGGAAGCCCTACTGGGGACTCTATCCCAGAACCCTGAGATCACCACCTGAGCTGAAAGCAGCCACTCAACCAACTGAGCTACCCAGATGCCCTGTTTTTCAGTAAAAATTTAAAAAGAAAAAAAAAGCCCCACAGGCTCTACTTCCTTTGTATGTACTCTTTTTGTTCCTCACAAAAAGAATGTATTTAGTACACAGAAGACTCAGACAACCTCCAAGTGAGATAAACCCAAGATTGTAGAGATAAGTGTGAGATGCCAACCTCTGATACTGTAGCTACCATGGGCGTTAAATTTATGTCTGGTCTTCCAGAAATTGTGATTTGGAAATTGCTCCAACATTTTCTTCGGAAACCATACCTTATGGTAAATATTTAGGATGAGAAAACAGAGTCTTGGTTTTAGGGCAAGAAAACAGGTCTTTACAAAGAATAATTGCTTCAGTGAAGGACAAATCATTAGCTGATGATAGTTTCAAAGAAATTTCCTAAGAAGACAAAACCTACTGCCTTTTCTCTAATTCTATGCATGCTTATTAAGCAACTCTCTAATATGTAGTTTAGAGTCCTGAGTAAATCTAGTCACCTAAAAAGTAAGTGCCTTCTCTGGATGATGAATCTTAGATCTAGGAATGGGTATGTTAATTAATGTATTGCAGATCTGATTCACAATCTCTGTGAATTTGGTTGTTATGAGCTGGTACACAGATCCTGATCATTCTGGTCAAATTAATAAATTCAGGATTTGGGTGTTTTTTGTTTTTTTCTTTACTAGAAAATTCACTTCAGTATTTTTGGAAGAATAGTTTACATTTTCAGGATTTCAACAGTGTGGAAGAAGAAAATTCAAAAAGCACCTCAAGTCTCATCACTCATAAATAATATCAAGTGAACATCTTTCTCTGTATATTTGCAGATGGATACAGAACTACTTTTATTGTAGTGGGATCATTCTATGCATGTTGTATCAAAGTTAGTTAACTTAATTTTACACAG